AATATTGGACCCCAAAATAGATTAATCATGGTTCTCGGCGGTAATTTGATATTTCTACAATATCTGGGTCGTTTTCTAGGTTTTAAATGTAAGATTTTATATAAGCGGAACAGCTTTATTCTTGGAACAATATACCCTATACAATAATATTCATATCTTCCGCGACCTACGCTGTATAAAAAAGGGGAGAATTGACAAAGAAACTGGCGATACCATAATCACCAGTACATAATGCACCCTCCGGATATGCCTTTATGGGTCGCGATAGTCAACTCTCCCGGGAATGGGATGGACAGGCAGCGATAATTCTTTTTTTATGTTGTGGTACGATCGATATGCTCTGAGTCATGCATTTCTCAACTTTCTTTTGGATTTGTGTAAACCCACTTCATTTGGATCTTTTTTTATTGCAAAAAATTTTTTCTTGTGGCGTTTATTACAGCTATCTTGCTTTCCTTCTTGATAATCGGATTCATGAATGTTGAAGTCAAATTTCAGTAATATTTAGTTTCATCGTGATATTATAATGTGGCTTCGACAGATCTATCCCCTATCTAGTACTGAGGACGATGATAACAGTAAGTTGACAGAGATTTTTTTAATTGTGCTGAAACTTAATAAAATCTTTTCCACTGTAAGTTGGGTGCTGTATAGTTATTGCACAGCTTTTTGTTTATATTGCCCTTTATCCAAAATACGGCCATAATAGAGATGCTAGAAGCCTGCACAATGCGTTCCACCAATCGGGACGCGCCCTCGCAATTCTCTCATCGTCTGCGTCTCCTCAAACTATGTTGTCTGCAATCACTCGCAAGCCCTTAGTTCCAATGACTCACTAATTATAAGAACTATTTTGTCTTCTTTCGATGATAGCCATTATAATGTATCTCAGAAACAAAGTAATGCTGCTCGAGTATGGTTAAAAGTTTCATTTCCATATATATGGTAAAAAGGAAGATACTTTTTGACCCTTATGAGTTCCCCTCAAACAACAGAAAATGACAATAAAAAAGCTTAAAGATATTTTTATTTGATTACAATTTCGATCCAAATAGTTTATTTTTAGACAGTATACCCGGAAAAGCTTATCATTTTTCTGTGAGCGAATCTACGCGATACGCTTACTATGTTGGTCTCGAGAAGTTTCTAGACGGAACAAAACTAAACTCGTTACGAGTAATCGATACTTGGAAAGGTACTATCATGTGGGTTAATAGCTAGAAACATCATTGACTCAAAGAATCATGAGTAATTAAATGATTTTGAGGACATACTCACTTCCACCACAGTTATCCTCGATTTGTATGCTTTACGAAGCTGGAAATGGTTTAGCGCTAATTGGTGTAGGAGACGATAGTAGCATAGCGGTGAACGAAATTTCTTGAGCTTATGAATTTTGCCTTCTGAATTTTCGGAAGATTTGCAAACTGCAAAATATTTTTCTTCCAGATATTTCAAGCAATCGTCGACCATAATGCAAAACAACTAGTTTCGGCAA